ACAGTGGGAAGGAAAAACTCCCTTTTAACAGGAAGAAACCTCCAGCAGAACCAGGCTCAGGGAGGGGCGGGGCCATCTGCTGTGATTGGTTGGTGTGAGAGGATAAAGACATGCTGTGGAAGAGAGACAGAGGTTAATAACAGATATGATTCAGGTCTGTGAACACATCGTGAGTTTATAAACCGCAGCTCAACCTGTAAATATGCAGAATAATTTATTCGCAGAGTTCATAGTGGCGTAAACGCAGAGCCCCTGTTCTGTTCTGATGGCGGGCTGGTGGCTGTTTGAACCCTCGCAGGTATCCACCGCGGTGTGACGACCTTACATCGATCAGAATACGGCGATGGAGAAAACAAAGCCTGCGTTGTGATGGATGACAGGAGTGCGATTTGCTGGCAGGTGAACATCAGACCGGTTGTAGCGGCGACCTCGTCGGTCTGATCGTCTTACCTGAGGCTCGACGGCGAGCCGGGTCTGCTGGTGGTTTTTCCAGTCTCACTGGTTTGTGAGCGTGTGCAGCAGATCAACCCTGAGGACGAGCGTGGCGTCCCTGTCGGATGCATCAGCGCGTTTCAGACGCTCAAACTTCCTTTGCGGTTTCTAGAGCAGTTCGCCATCAGCACTGTCGCTCGGTCACCTTCACCACGATTTGAGCTTTCAGCCTTCGGGACGTTTGATCGTCTGACTCTGGAGCTTCTCGATGATGAAGACGCCGTTAAAGCAGCCGCTCTCCTTCAGCACGCCGTCCATCAGTAACGTATGAACAGACGAACTGCAGCTCTCCCAGCATGCACCGGTGCAGCTGAACACGAGCTGTTCAGTCTTCTTCTGTGCTCTGCAGCCTTGTGACACGCTGCCTCCTCCTCTTCCTCCTGTGGCGACCATCCTTGTTAGGAAGCCTGTCTCTCCTTGCACTCTGACCTCTGCTTCCTTTGAGTCGTGGAGGTTTCATTGACCTGCAGTGAGCTTCACACAGGAAGTGTGGAGTCTTCCTCACTGCTGGACGGAGACAGGCCTTCCTCGTTTCTCTTTCCTCATAAATTTGTTTTTTCTTTGTATATTTTTAACGTTGTGGTCACGAGTTTGGCCCCTCCCCTCTCCTTGACCCTATTTCCGGGTAAATTTGCCCGTTTTTTCTCGTTTTGATTTGCGTGATTTTGTTCGTCTTTAAATGTGAAAGTTTGCGTCTTTTCCTCACAAATGTGCAACTTTCACATTAAACATGAGGAGCTTGACCTCCTGGTCCAGACCCTCGCTGCCTTCACCGGGTTTGAAGCGGACCCGTGCGGGCTCAACCTGTCCCAGCAGAGGTCCGTGAGTGAGACAGAGGCCTAACTGCGCATGCCCGGCCCCCCTCCCCTGTCTCACCTCTCTCAGCGGAGCTTCAAGATGGACGCCAAATGTGGTTAGTGTGGCTCTGATCTTTTGTTTACCGTCTCTACTGTCTCCATCCGCCGCTAGCGTCGCGTTTATGGCCGGTTTGCCTTTGCATGAGCACCGCGAGCGGGGCTCCTTTCGAGGCGGGAAAGGCTGTCGTTGAGTCGGGGAGGACTGAAGGCGCACCGGGCCGCCTACGGGAGGTCATGCCGGACGGTTTGACGGCTCGTCCTCGCGAGGAGGCGAGCAGCCGTTGGGGACAGACGGAGAGCATCCCGGGGAGAAAAATTAAAACATTTAGGGGGGACGGTATCCGTGTCAGAGAGGGGGGGATTAAAGCAGCGGCCGGGTTTAGCTCGCTGTGATGCGGGTCTATTTTTAGCCAGCCTCCATCGCTCCTAGCACGCCTGCTACCATATGTAGCCAGGCGGACACATTTGGATCCCAGACCCTCCTCCACCTCCTCCCGTCTGTCTCTTCTCATGTTATGTGCTCGGTCCGAGTGTTTACGGCCGCTCGGTAGGCGGTTTACCGGCTGCTAACGGCGTTAGCACCGAGTTAGCACGTTGAGCAGAGAGATAACTAGCTGTCGGCTAACGTAGCATCTGTCAGCCCACATGTAGCCTGTAAACGGGATGATTCGTCGGCCGGAGCCCGGCCCGCCTTTCTCGTGGCTCTGTGTAAATAACGGTGGGTCTCGTTATGATGGGCGTCAGTGAACGCACCATCAGAGCCAGTATAAAAACAGGGAGTCCTGGTGTGACGCTCACTGTGCGCAGTGTCCAAACAACATGAATGCAAACGAAATATTTTATTTTTGATGTTTTGTTTCTGCTCTGCGTTTCTTTGAGCATATTTAAGATGAATTGAACGACTCTCTGACACAGTCTGATTACTTCGAGTTCGTCCTGTGTGCATTAGCACACTTTCTACAGTCTGGTGTATTTACAGTAGTTTCTATACTGGTGTCCTTGAACGGGCAGTGTTAATGTTACATAAAAAAATATTTTAACTGGACTCTAAGTTCAGGTCTAATTTATTTAAACTCAGGATTATCTGTAAATAAAACCCAGGAGAAACAGGCTGTTTGCAGGGTGAAACATCACTCGTGTGTTTCTGAGCACGGAGACCGTAAAACATTTTATGTCATCACACAAAATGAAACGTGCACTGAAACAATCTGCTGTTGGGCTAACAGCCCTGGAACGTGTGACCCTGATTGGTGCAGCTAAACAAGTTCACCCCGGCTGGATGGAGAGAACCTGACACCGCGGTGAGCGGCGTGACCACAGCGGCCGTCAGCTGTTCAGCCTTTCTGCTTCAGTGTGTGAAGCATCGTTTGGCTCTGCGCAGACTGGATCTGCAGTGTTTGGTTCGCTGTACTCAGCTGTGCGTCACACAGTTTGGAAACACATTGATGTCGTTTCATCGTTGCGATCAGAGCCTCCCGCGGCGTGCGGAGCTCCTTCAGTGCAATCACGACTGTTTTAAACCGAGATCACGTTTAAAACGTTTTCCTTCAGCTGAGAATCTAAAGCTCGCTCAGAGCAGACGTAGAGGACGGGAGAGCTCTGAGCATGACCGCCTCCGGTCCAGGATTCAGCATCTGTTACCATGGTGATGGAGCTGGGATAGCAGCCATGTGCCGTCCTTTCATAAAGTGTTAATTATTGATTATTGGCTGGACTCGATCAGCTCGGGTGAAGCTGAGAGCGCTGACGTTAGCTCGCAGCTGAAATGTGTTGAAACATTTTTACTGTTCGTAAATCGAGTCGTCACATTTTCATTGTCATTATTTACTGTATCTGTGGCATATTTTGGTCTTTTGAGAAATTATTAAAGTCGGATTAGATGATTTTCATCCTCGTGACGTTTTCTTAACCATAAATCTTTATTTCTGAGCGTTGCGTTTAGTCATCTGCTGCTTCAGCTTCTCTGTCACACGTCTGATAGCAAACTGATTATCTTAACCTTCAGGAAGCAGATGGACGTTTCACTCTCCTGGAAGAGTTATTGGATTGTGTCTCTTGGCAGCAGGTAAAGCTGAGGCTCACCTGAGCAGAGGAACAGGCAGACGTCTGGGTGTTTTCAGTTTTTCCGGTCTGCTTGTTTTCCTCTGATGAAGTATCAAATTTCAGGGATAATGTTTGAACATTTGATACGGATTCATTTTCTGGAATATTTCGGCCCGTCGGCTCACTGAAGGATGCGTTTGCATTTTAAAGCTGCTTCCTTATCACAGAGCGTGTTATCTGGTGCCGTTTATTCTGTGGTGCTTTGTGGTCGCTTGAACTCGTCTCCTGACCTGCTGCAGTGAAGCGTCTGCGAGCCTGCAGGAAACCCAGCTCTCACTTCTAATATGGTCCGCTGACCTGCCTGGAATTCCCTGATGAAATATAAGCGTGCTCGGAGCAGGTCATGAGCTCAGCTGTCGCTCAGGAGGTGCTGACCTCCCCGCTCGCCTTCTCAGCGCCCGTCAGAGAGGGGAGGACTTCCTGCCAGTCAGGAACCTGCAGATTTTTTCTTTTAGTTTTTTAGTTTGATGATGCTGATTGTTTTCAGCACTGAGAATAAAACCTGTAAGTTTAACGTGAGGCTCAGCAGGGACAGTAGTTTCCTTTCACTCTGCAGTGATACCTGCAGCAGGTGACAGGAGGCCACGCCCCCAAGCGGACACAAACATAAGCCATGCGCTTAGTGAGCGTAGCCGTGACACTCCACCAGACTCCATTCAGAAAAACAGGAATTTTACATCACAGTGCACACGTTCATGCTTCTGCCACAACTCGAGTGTGTGACGTTTAACACACTCTGTCAGCTCGCCGTGGCTCTGCCTGCACGCTGCAGGAAAACTCAGAGCGCCATTTAGGTGCACAGGGAGCGTGGGGGCGGAGCTCCAGGGGGAGCACAGGTGAGACATGCAGCTCAGCATCAGGCTGTCAGTATAAACGATGATGTCGTACCCAGACTGAGCGCAGCGCTCTGATGATGATGATGATGATGATGATGCGTGTCTTCAGTCATCGCTGCTGGAGGTAAAAGTGAATCAAAGTCGCAGAGACAGAAAGCGGGAGTCTGAATCAGCTGCTGCAGGGTTTAAGCTCTGTATGAGGCCGACTGAGCGTGACCTCTGACCCCTGGATGCTCCACTCTAAGATGATGTCATGCAGCGTCCATGTGAGAGGGCAGAAAATCTGGTTTCTTCGCCCTGCAGGCTCTTTAAAGTCAGTCTGTTTCCTCCCGCGCGCGTCTGCTGACGGTCTCGTGGTCGCTGAGCTCTGATCCGTTCGTGCCGCTTCAACAAAAACAAGGAAAATGATGCAAATCACCAACAAACAGGGAAGAAAAGCTGGAAGCTCGTTGGAGCTGCAGGAGGAAGTAAACAGTTGGTCAGGTCGTGGGCGTCGAATCACCAGTAAAACTCTGTGATGTTTGTAGAGTCATAATAATGAAATCTGTGGTCATGATGAACGTGGACGTTGAGCTTTGGAGCAGGAGGTCTGAGATCATTAGTTACAGTATCTAACCACACAAACTGTTTCTCCTGCTGACGACGGTCTTTGCTGCTCTTCCCGCTGCAGTGGTGGATCTCCTCTACTGGCGTGATGTGAAGACCACGGGCGTGGTGTTCGGCGCCGCCCTGCTGCTGCTCCTCTCCCTGACGGTGTGCAGCATCGTGAGCGTGTGCTCCTACATCTGCCTGGCCCTGCTCTCAGTCACAATCTGCTTCAGGATATACAAAGGCATCCTGCAGGCCATCCAGAAGTCAGACGAGGGACACCCATTCAAGTGAGTAGCGCCCGTCTGCAGAGTCGTCACAGGTCAGAGTCCATGAAGTCGCCTCGACATCAGCAGAGTTTGATTATTTTTCCATGTTTTCTTGATAAATGTCTAAAAGTGTCAGACGGTGAGTCGTGTGTCCACGGCAGCTGCTGAGGACAAATCAAGCTGGTTGGAGACCTGCAGCACCTCCCTGTAGCTC